TACACTTGAGGTAATTATTAAGTACAGATTTACTACTGGCACCTTCATGTTTTCTAGTTGTTTTATAGATCCTTTCTCCCATCTTACAGTTTTCCTTTGTGATTGATTTTTCTAATAGTCTGTTTTGATTCTTTGCTTTTTATTTTGGTGTAGGTGTAGGTTTTTGCTTTGCAGTTATCTGGCTTAGCAGAAAAACACAGTGACAACAGGCTACTTTAAACTAACAACAGCTCAACTTTGTATAAAAAGAAAATTCTGCTTTAAGTCTCCCCATTTTGAATTTTTGATGTAGCAATTTATATTTTTTAAGGATTTGTCTATTTAATCTAAAAAGCAGAGTTACAGAGAGAGAGAGAGAGAGAGAGAGAGGGAGAGAAGCTGAAAGATCTCCATCCCCTGGTTCACTCCCCACGTGGCTACGACAGCCAGAGCTGGGCCAATCCAAAGCCGGAAGCCAGGAGTGTCGGGGAACGGGACAGCCTGGCCAGCTGTGCCGCTCCCGACAAGAAGTTTAGTGCTGGGCTTTTTCCACCCTGCCCGTTGCTAATTGCAAGATCCTGTTTTGACTTTAAGCATCCTGTTATTGCATGTTTCCCACACTTAGTTGGTAACATGTTTTCCGTGAATGATATATATATAAATAGGTGGACGGTGGGCGGGGGGAGTGAATGAACGCTGGTAAAAGACGGAGGAATGAATGAACGCTGGTAAAAGACGGAGGAGTGAATGAACGCTGGTAAAAGACGGAGGAATGAATGAACGCTGGTAAAAGACGGAGGAATGAATGAACGCTGGAAAAAGACGGAGGAATGAATGAACGCCGGTAACAGGCGGAGTTGTGAATGAACGCCGGAAACAGACGGAGTTATGAATGAACGCCGGTAACAGGCGGGAGCTGTGAATGAATGCGAGTAGTAAGCGGGAGTGGTGAATGAAGGAGTTGTGAATGAATGTCGGTAACAGGGCGGGCGTTCGCGACATGTAACGCGAGTCTGCTGAAAAATAAAGTGGAAGCTGAAAAGCCGATAAACGCGTCTGGTGTCTCCGAGGTCTCGCCGGCGTTAACCTATCCGGAAGGTGTACGCCTGCACAGGAGCTTCTTCTGAGTTTCCCATGTGGCTTCAGAGACCGAAGCACTTGAGCCATTCCCTGCTGCTTTCCCAGGCCATGAGCAGGGAGCTGGGTTGGAAGTGGAGCAGCCGAGACTCAAACCAGCACCCACAGGGGATGCCAAAGTCACAGGTGGAGGCCTACCACGCCATAGCACCCGCCACAACAGTTTACAATTTTATGTTGCATATCTTTTAATTCTTTTAGTAAGTGTTGATAGTTTGTCTTTTCATCTTCATACTAAAGATATGTAGCTTATACACCATGATTACAGTACCATTCAGAGTATTCTGAATTTACTGTTTAATCCCTATAGCCAGCGAGCTTTAAACATTCAGATTGTTTGCATGTTACTAATTAGAATACTTTCAGAGTGAACTCCTTTTTCGCATTTCTTGTAAGATGGGTCTGGAGGTGATGAACTCTCTCCACTTTTGTCTGTCTGGGAAAGCCTTATCCTGCCCCTCATTTCTGAAGGATGGCTGTACTTGGTACAGTATTCTCCAATGATAGTTTTTTCCTTCAGCAATTTAAATATTCCATCCTGCTTTTCCCTGGCCCGTAAGGTTTCTGCTGAGAAGCCTGTAGGCTGTTTCTAGGCTTATGAGTACTTCCTTAGATGTCACCTGCTGCTTCTCCCTGTTGCTTTCAGGATCCTGTCTTTATATGTGACTTTTGACAGTTTGATTAGCGTAAGTCTTGGGGTAGTCTCATCAGGATTGAGTCTCATTGGTGACAGTTGATCTTGTACGTGGGTGCCTATCTCCAGATTTGGAAAGTTTTATGCTTTAAATAAGTTTTCTACCCTTTGTGTTTCTCTCTTCCCTCTTGAACTTCAATAAACTCTAAATTTGCTCTTTAGATGTTGTTCCACAGATGGCATAAGCTTTCTCCATCACTTTTCATGCTTTGCTTTTTATTCCCAATGGAATCTGTGGCTTGGAACAGCCTGGTGATCTCACTGACTTTTATGCAGTCAGTGTGCTTTATTAAACTTTTCATTTCATGCATTGTTTCTCAGGTCCAAAATGTGTTCAACATTTCTGTCACAACCTCTATGTTAAATATTTCTGCTTACATTTCTGAATTATTCCCTAAGTTTGCTGAACTTCCTTAAACTAGCTGTTTTTGAATTCTTGGTTGGGCAGATCACACATCTGCATCTCTTTGGGGTCAATCACTGGCACCTCTTTTGCTCATTTGGTGATGCCATGTTTCTCTGACTGTTCTTTTTTTTTTTTTTAAGATTTATTTGATTTATTTGAAAGACAGAGTTACAGAGAGAAGTAGAGACAGAGAGAGAGGTCTTCCACCCACGGTTCACTACCCAGAGGGCCATAACAGCTGGAGCTGCACTGATCCGAAGCCAGGAGCCAGGAGCTTCTTCCTGGTCTCCCATGCGGGCGCAGGGGCCCAAGGACTTGGGCCATCTGCTACTGCTTTCCCTGGCCATAGCAGAGAGCTGGATCAGAAGTGGAGCAGCCGGGACTAGAACTGGCGCCCATATGGGATGCTGGCACTTCAGGCCAGGGCTTTAACCTGCTGCACCACAGCACCAGCGCCTCTCTGATTGTTCTTGATCCTAGTGGTCATGCATCAGTGTCTCTGTACTGACAACGCTGATATTCACACTGATCTTTGCATTCTGGCTTTTTCAGAGAAGATTGTCTGTTGTGATTCCCTAAACCCAGGCTTCAGACCAGTTAGTGGCTAGGTACCAGGATGTGATTGCCCACTTCAGGGCAGTGCCTCTGTTGCCAAGCACGCAAGTTAGCTTCAACTAGGTCTCTGTAAAGGTTCCTGTGGCTCACTGGTTGGGTGCCTTAGTGGCCATACTTGAGTTGGTGGTCATAGTGAGCTATAACTGAGGTAAGGGTTGTTTCAGGTCCACAGCCAAGACAGTTCTCAGGCCCGCCTCCAGTGTCACAGACAGCTGTGTCTCCCAGCGGATTTGGAGTGAACAGGCCTTTTTCAGACTGGGTTTTCGAAGGACTAGAGACCATTTATAGGGCTATTGCATTGATTCACAATGTAACGAGGGTCAGGCTGTGTGCCTAGGGGTTCTACTGGGTTTCTAGGTGGGTAGTACTGCTATCAGCCAATAGACAAATGGGGCCAGAGCCAAGTTTCAGGAGTGCTTGACGAAATACTGGGGGCAGAGGTTGGCAAGCCTACCAAGGAGACTCAGCAGGCCATGTCTCCTGGCAGGAACCTGGCTGGGTAGAATTGATGCAGGACCACAGCCAGCAGGAACTGAAACAGCTCCGGTGATAATACAGGATCTGTTGTGGAACCAGTATTGGCAAATCCAAACTGAGGGCAGCAGTGTCCATTTGGTCTTGGGTGTTAAGACCTCTGTTTCCTAGTTGGTTTTCTCTTTGTATGTTTTATTCATTATCGAAAGTGCAGTATTGAAATTTTGTATTATTGTTGGAGGATTTTTTTCTCCTTTGAGTCCTGCCAATGTTTCCTCTATATATTTTTGTTCTCTTATGTTGAGCTTACATATATTTATTTATTTTTTCTATTTGTAGTAATTTGTCCCTTGTATCAGTTTATAACTTCCTTCTTTGTATTTTGTGATAGTTGTTGACTTAAAGTCTATTTTGTCTGCTATAAGTGTAGCTATCTCTTGGTTGCCACTCGCATGAAATATTTTTCCATCCGTTCATTTTCAGATTATGTGTGTCTTTAAATCTAAAATGAGTTTCTTGGCCGGCGCTGTGGCATACTTGGCTAATCCTCCGCCTGCAGCACCTGCACCCCCTGCACCCCAGGTTCTAGTCCTGGTTAGGGTGCCAGATTCTGTCCCAGTTGCTCCTCTTCCAGCCAGCTCTCTGCTGTAGCCTGGGAAGGCAGTGGAGGATGGCCCACGTGCATGGGCCCTGCACCTGCATGGGAGACCAGGAGGAGGCACCTGGCTCCTGGCTTCGGATCGACGCAGCGCCAGCCACAGTGCACTGGCCGTGGTGGCCATTTGGGGGGTGAACCAATGAAAAAGGAAAACCTTTCTCTCTCTATCTCTCTCTTTCACTGTCTAACTCTGCCTGTCAAAATAAATAGATAGATAGATACATAGATAGATAGATAAAATGAGTTTCTCTCCGACAGCATATAGTTGGGTAATTTTTGATTCATTTAACTACTTTTGATTAGGGAGTTTAACATATGAACATTTGAAGTGATTATTGATAAGAAAGGATTCATTATTATTTTGTTCATTGTTTTGTTAGCTTGTTACCTTAGTTTCTGAAGGATTTATTAATTCTTATTTTTTGTCCTCTAACCTGCTCTCATATTCTTACTTGTAACCCCCCAAGTTTTAACTATGATATAGTCATTTGTCATTCATATTTTATTATAAATTCCCTTGAAGGAAGCATGTCTTTTGAGCCATGTCACTTGGCTCTAGTGTAATGTCTAGGATAGAATCTACTCAGCGAAATATTCTCGCAACCTGAGTGAGGTGCTTGTGTTTCTTCCCCACCGGCTTCCGTGGCTCATCCCGATGGTAGATTGCCATAGGGAAGATCATCCTCGGAGGAGTTCGGTCTGGTGGAGATACATAAGGGCTCCAGATCTGTGGGAAGTTGTAAGGGGAAGGGGAAAGCCAGGTTGCTTTTCCAGCTAGAACTTACTGAGGAATTTTATTGAAAAGAGTATTTTTTCTGATTGTTGTAAAGCATGAAAACACTTCTATATAATATGCACCATATAATATAGCTATGTAATATGCACTATACGATATGCACTATATGATATGCACTATATAACACGCACTATATAATATGCACTATATGGTGTGCACTATATAACATGCACTATATAACATGCAGAAATTGCCAACAATTACAAGACAGCCATGACTTTTTCTTCCTTTGTTCCTCTAGGCCCAGCTGGATGTGTGCCATCCTCTCTAGTTGAGGCGACAGTGTGAGGAAATGATTTCCCTAAGTCTCAACTAAAAAGAAAGGCATTAATAAAGCATTTAATTTTTTTTATTTGACAGGTAGAGTTACAGACAGTGAGAGAGAGAGACAGAGAGAAAGGTCTTCCTTCTGTTGGTTCACTCCCCAAATGGCCGCCACAGCCGGAGCTACACCGATCTGAAGCCAGGAGCCAGGTGCTTCCTCCTGGTCTCCCATGCGGGTGCAGGGCCCAAGCACTTGGCCCATCCTCCACTGAACTCCTGGGCCACAGCAGAGAGCTGGACTGGAAGAGGAGCAACCGAGACTAGAACCGGTGCCCTTGTGGGATGCCGGCACCGCAGGCAGAGGATTAATCAAGTAAGCCACAGCGCCGGCCCCACATTTAAATTTTTTTAAAGACAAAAATTTCCGAGTATGTTTTCCTGTGCATAGCCAGGTGGGAGAAGAGCCCGGAGGGGAGAACAAGACATCCCTTCCTGTGAACCTCACTTCTTGTGAGACCGCTGTCCCTTACACCCAAAAAAGAGAGTTCAGGTGTCAGCATGTGCAGTTACAAAGTGCAGCTGTGCCACATGTATTTGGTGAAATACAGAACCCAAAAAGGTAAGTTGTCTACCTCAATGTATCACTATTCATATAAGTCAGTTCCTTCCTCCACAGCTGAGAAAAACAGCAAAGAGGATCACTGAACAAGAGCAAGCAGATATAGACCCTACAGATCTTTCACTTAGAGTTGCTTAGGTATTGTTTATTTCACTATAAGAAAGTAAATAGATCAAACACCAAGCACTTGGCTTGCTTTCTCTCTCCATCTCTCTCTCCCCCTCCTTCTCTCCCTTCCTCACCAAAGCTGAGCAAAACATATAACCAAAGAGGACTGATGAACAAGAACAGGGATGTTTACATCCTAGCTAGATCCTAGGTGTCTTTGCAAATATTAAATATTATTTCTTTCACTGTAGGAAAGTGAATAGGTCAGGCACCTCTCTCTCATATATATATATATATATATATATATACACACACATACATACACACACACACACACACACACACACATATATATATATACATGCATTTACTATATATATTTTTTATTTTTATTTTTTGACAGGCAAAGTGGACAGTGAGAGAGAGAGAGACAGAGAGGAAAGTCTTCCTTTGCCGTTGGTTCACCCTCCAATGGCCGCTGCGGCAGGCACACCGCGCTGATCCGAAGTCAGGAGCCAGGTACTTCTCCTGGTCTCCCATGGGGTGCGGGGCCCAAGTACTTGGGCCATCCTCCACTGCACTCCCGGGCCACAGCAGAGAGCTGGCCTGGAAGAGGAGCAACTGGGACAGAATCCGGCGCCCCGACCGGGACTAGAACCCGGTGTGCCGGCGCCGCAGGCGGAGGATTAGCCTAGTGAGCCGCGGCACCGGCCTTACTATATATATTTACACATGTATAGTTTCTTCATAATATGAATTTTCCATGAACTCTTTGGAGACTTTGTTTGTGCATGGATTTTACATTTTTGGTACCAAATTAAACTTATGTTTCAATTCTATTTTCCATGAACTTTCACTCATTCATTTATATATTAAATATATAAATTTATAGAAGTATAAATTTTATATATACATATATAATCTGCACCATTGCAACAAAGGGCAGCTATAGGCAGCAGGGAGTCTGGCCAGTCTAAGAAAAACTGGCCCATAGCTTGGGTCTGCCAAACTAGCCATTCATGCCAGGCATGGCATGGTTGATACTTACCAATCTTTTTCTTCTTTCAACAGTGGGCTTTCTCAAGGCCAGTGTGTTGACTTAGGACAAGCCCCACCTGGAACCTTACCCCGTGAGACGTACACAAGCATCCTGAACTGTTGTGCCTGTCGCTTGCTCTGGGATGACGGAGAAGTGTTGAAGTTCGTGTGGCGTAACTAGAAGGGACTCTGTCTTTCCAGTAAGGCAAGGCCCACTCAGGCGCTTAGTGGTCACCTAGGACTTCTCGATGGCTTTTGCTTATAGTTGCTGAAATACTATGCCTTTCACTAGAAGAAAGTGAATGGGCCAAACATTTCAGTCTCCAAAGAAACCTTAGGCAAAGGGAACCTCAAGGAGAGACTACCGTTTGCTATTCTCACGCCAGAGACACATTTGCTGAGGAGGACAGCAGCCAAATGGCTGACGTCTAGGCATTTCTGGAGGGATGCTCACTGCTCCACGTCAGTGGCGGTAGTGCTCAGACAGTCTGAGTGAAGGTGAGAAGTGTCTTCCTAAAAGTGTGTGCTGTTGTCCTGGGATGCCTCCCTAGAAGGGCTCAGCCTCCAAGCGTCCCTGCCCTCTGAATGATGGCGAGAACACAAGTATCCTGTAGCACAGCCATGGTGGTACTTCCTCCCATTGTACCACATATGCTGTGGGCTGTGTGTCCCAGGTGCTCTGAGCGTAGTGTGTCCAGTCAGTCAGGGTGCTATCCCCTCAAACAGCACAGGCGGACAGGGCACCACCCCTCAAACAGCACAGGCAGACAGGGCACCACCCCTCAAACAGCACAGATGGACAGGGCACCACCGCTCAAACAGCACAGGCAGACATGAGGTGTCTCCTGGAGCACAAGGACAGAAGCGTCTCTCTGACGAATGTCTCCTGAGTGGTGAAGGACCCTCCGATAGTAACAGATTTGCTCAAACCAGATGGACCCCCAAGTGCTCCAACCACTCCACATGTGGGTAGTGTTGGCCCCTTCCATTGCAACACGTGTGCTCTGGACCCAAGGGACCCAGGTGCTCTGACTGTAGGTGAGAACATGAGGATCTCCAAGCACAGGTGTGTTGGACTACAACGTACTCTCCCAGTGTACTATGGCAAGGCGTTCCCTACGTAGCCTGCCCCTAGGCATGAAGCATTTCTAGAGAGGTCTGATGCTGGCCTCTCTCACTGCCCCAGATGCGCTTGGCACAGGCGCTGGCTGCTATAAACGCAGAGTGTTCCTCGTCAGTGCCGCTGCTTAGCAATGCCCAGTAGTAGTGGTATGTTTTGGCCCAGCTGGCAGCAGGTCCTTTGGCTACAGACAGGAAAGATAGTGTCCTGGGGGCAGATTTGCTTTCGGCAGTGCTGGTCTCCAGTTGCAACAGGGGTGGGTGCTATAGACCCACAGGACCGCAGTGCCCAGGGCTGTCATGAGCTGCGTTGCTGGGTGTCCCACTTCGCCTTGCTCCAAAGCTGCCTGCTCCAGACGTGGAGCTGCAGCCCACGCCAGACACAATGACCCCAAAGCTGCAGCTTACCCAGAGGGCTGCAGATCCCACAAATGCAAATTGGCCTGGATTAGTGTTGCAAAAGGTGGGCAATAGGCCTCAGAGTTGTGTATGTCAGTGGGATGCGTGGCATGAAAGAGTGACCGCACCAGTGAAAAATCGGCCCCGGTGCCACCAAAGGCTGGCTGGGTGCTGACAGGGATACCACAGGTGGAATGTGAGAGCATCGATGGGCACCTATGCTGTCACCGGGTCCGTGGACTGCACTGGGGGTGAGGCCGGGCACTTCTGCTGATCCTGTAAGGTTTCCCAAAGGGAAAGAATTGATAAAGATGTCAGAGGGAGACTCAAAGACAACTTGCTAGGTTCCGGTGTGGTGTCCCTAGCGATGTCATCAGAGTCAAAGCCAAGTTTGGCCACCTGTCTGAAGAGCGGCTGCCTACTCGAGTGAAGGCGACTGTGGAATCCCTGGCAGGTGGGCCAGAAAACAGGACACCGGGCGGAGTAGCTCTCTGTTCTGTCCATCAGGACCCCAGGATTTCAGCTGAGGGGTGGTTCCTGGTTCAAAGGGGAGGTTTTAAAATTGGCTGGAGCAGCTGAGCATGGAAGCAGGTGGAGTGGTGGAGACGTGGCCTTGGTACGGGAGTGTCTGCTCCGGCTGGCCCTGGCGGATGGGGGGAAGCTCACACGGGGTCACCCTGGAGCCAAGAAGATAGAGTGGTGTCTGCGCCAGTTATAACGCAGTCTGCAGCTGGACTGCCTGGGATGGTGGAAGCGAGTGCGGAAGCCGTGACGGGCCGGCCGGGGAGACAGGGCTACAGGTGGAGGGGGCTTGAGGAGGGCTCTGTGGGTCCCCATAGGAAAAGAAGGAGGAGGCCGAGTGGCCCTGCTCTCTGAAGAGGCCTCGGTGTCCTCAGCCACTTTGTGGTTCCATTAAGGCTCAGTGTTCTCTCCCAAGCCTAGGTCTTCTTCAGTGACCATACAAAGGCGGGTGGTGCAGCCAGCTCTCTCCAGGGCGGCAACAGGGGCAGCTGAAGCATCAGCAGAGGCCTTGGAGGCCTCTCCGTACAGAGCCCACAGCTGGCAGACGTGAGCAGAGACGGCCTCTCTGCCAGGGTATCTGAAAGCTCTCCTCTCTGGCCCTCCTTCTTTGACCCCGAGGAAGCTGGGAGCTGAGTTGAGGAATGGCTTACCTGTGGGGCTCTTCCTGTCTCCGGTAGCAGGAAGGAGACTATGTCCTGCTGTCGAGAGACAGGCAGCCCCCAGCGGGCAGGGCCGTAAGAGCTGGTGACAGCTTGGCCTTTGGCAAATGAGCTTCCTAGAAGACGTCTGGGATATCTTGCCTCAGCTGCCTTCTGGGTCCGTGGAGTAGAGTTTCCAACTCAGAGAGCCAGGACCTGCGCCCAGATATGTGATGACTGCAGTTGTCCCCAGGGGCCTAGATGCTGGAGGGACACTCCACTGCCCTGGGGGCTCCTCTCTTGACACCCTGCCTTGCGGATACCGTTTGGTCGCCTTCCTCCTCTGACCCCTTTGCTTCGTGCTTCTAGTGGCTTCATCTCAGTCTCCTGATCTGGCAGGGGATTGGCTGTTGCACAGGTGACTGGCTGACCAAGTGACAAAGGAAAAGCGTCCGTTTGTGCCTTGGAGGAGGGATCACTACCAACCCAGGGTGGTTAGAGACTTTGAGGTATAGGCAGAGAGGATCAGTAAGCTTCCCGATGGGACTGTCACCTTTATAGTGTTGTGTAACACTGGTGGGGTGAGGCACACATCAGTGAAGCTGCCGGGGGTAAAGCCAGCCGGGCGACTCCAGCCACAAGAGGGTCAGTTGACAAGGTGTGCTACTCTGTGGGTGGGGTCCGGGGACTTAAGGGGGGAGCGGGCCGAGGCCTTCGCCCTCAAAGGGCTGGTTGTGTGCTGTTGGATCCTGGGAGCATAGTAGGAAATGGCTCCTCCACAGCGGACAACACACCGATCAGCTTGATGCATGCGGAACACAGGACGAACAGAGCACAGGCTAGTGGTCCACCAGTGAGAGGCACAAACACAGAAGTGCCGGAGGGCAGGGGGTAAGGCCCAGAATCTGAGCCTCGTCAGGGATTTCTCGTGCTTCCTGACTTTCCCACCCCCGGGCGCAGGCAGTTGGCACCAGACGGTCTTGGCGGTCACAACAGGACTGTTCCAGACCGTGAAGTCCAGGAGCTGCGTAACTGTCACCCCCAGGACGTCACAGCTGCAGGATCCTCAGGGCAGCCTGTGGTTGGGTGTCAGCCAGCTCTAGAAGGCAGAGCCAAGTCAAAGCCAGGCCAGGAGAGCAACCTGGATCCGGCCAGGGAGGGGACTCGGCTGCAGGAGGTCAGGGTAGGACAGGTGCGCTGGGGAGACCAGGGGCTGGCCCTGCCTCGTGTGTTACTGTGTCCCCACGTGACACGGCAGTGACCAGGCCTCCTCAACCACACCCACACAACAGCGGCACTAGCAGCAGCCATGGCAGTAAGAGTGGCATTGAAGATGCCTGTGTGTGTACAGGGCCTGCCACCAGCGAATGTGAGTGGAGAATTTCCCCGTGAGAGACTGCTGGAAGCCTTCCTGCTGTCCTCTCTGACTTTAATGAGGCTGCAGAGCCGAGTTTCTCTCGGCCTCTTCCTGTCACGCAACCACCACCGATGACACAGGCGAGCCCCCGCCTCCTGCATTCTGGTAGCCCAAGGCCAAGGCTCAGAACACTGGCTCCCTCGGAGACGCCCCTAGCTCCTCTGTACTTCCTAGAGTCAGCGCACGCCTTCCTGGAAAGGCCCAGTGTGCCCAGCATTGCTGGCTGGACCACGCAGGCTTCTGAGGTAGAGACCTGGATACTGCATCACACCCTTTCCAGGCTGTCTGACTCCAGAGCTCATGCATTTTGCCAGCAGATTTGGTGCCTGTTCACCACACAGCCTTCACGTTTCACTGTTTTTTTGATCATCCTTAATGCTACTTACAAATAATGAACACAGGAGGAGGTCATCTTTGGTTCACACTGGGCTCCAAGATCATCCAAACACAAGGGCAGGGACCACCAACTGTCAGTCCATCTGAATCAGGGATTTCTCCTCCATATGAGCTGTGTAGACTCATAGCTGTTAGCAATCATCTCTCAGGGGTAAGGACTCCAGATGCACATCAGGTGGGTGCTGAATTGAACCAGACTTAGAATCATTATGACTCAACACCAAAAACTCTTTTAGGATCCCAAGGATCAGTGTTTGGTGTCCTAGCTGAAACAACTACCAATACTGGCTTTTCCAGTCCATGAGCATGGTATAACTTTTCCTGTATTGTGGTCTTTATGAAGTTTTTTTTTTCCTCTCAGGTTCCTCTCAGGTTGTTACAAAACCTTTGTAACAAGGTTTCACCAATCATAGACCAAAGATAAAATTTAGCCCACAGCTTATTCTTGTAATGCTGATGAGATTAGAATGGTGTTAACATTTCTCTAATGTGAAAACAGAAGAATGTATGACAGAGACCACACTTAACCTGCAAAGCTGATAATATTTCCCAACTGACCCTTTGTGAGAAAAGTTTGGCAAGCCCTCTTTGGTAGTTTTTGGTGCCTAGGTTTTGTACAGCATTTGCTAATTTATCCCTAGATATTTTACAAGTGCTTTTACCCTATAGTAAGTGATATCTTTTAAATTTCAATTTTCAGTTGTTTACTGGTAGCATATAGAATATATAATTGGTTTTTATGTACTGACCTTGGATGCTGGAGACTTACCAGCTTCCTGCTGCACTTCTGGTAGTTTCTTTATAGATTTCTTGGGATTATTTTACATACATATTCATGTTCCCTTTGAATAAAGAGTGTTTTACATCTTCCTGTTTGATGTGCATGCGTTTTATTTCATCTTCACATTTGCTCTGACCTCCAGTAAAATGAGGAATTCAAGTGGAGGTTATGGACATGCTTTTCAGGTTCATATCTTAGAGGCAAAGTGCCCAGTCTGGTATTTACAAAAAGGTTTTTAATAGATGTGCTTCATCCTATAAAGGAGATTCAGTTCCCATTTTGTTAAGATATGTTTTTAAAAGGAGTGTTGAATTTTGTCAGTTACTCTGCATTCAGATCTGAGATAATCATATAGCCTTCATTGTGAATGTGGTAAATTACATTGATTTTTAAATGTTAAACCAACCTTGCATTACTGGAGCAAACTCTCCTTAAGAGGTGGTCATATTAAACCATATGTTTAGGGGCTGGTGCTGTGGCATAGTAGGCATAGTGGGCTAACCTGTAGCACCGGAATCCCATATGGGCACTGGCTCATATCCTGGCTCCTCCTCTTCCAATCCAGTTCTCTGCTATAGCCTGGGAAAGCAGTGGAAGATGGTACAAGTGCTTGGGCCCCTGCACCTGCATGGAGACCCAGAGGAAGCTCCTGGCTCTTGGCTTTGGATCAGCCCAGCTCCAGCCATTGTAGCCGTTTGAGAAGTGAACCAGCAGATGGAAGACCTCTCTCTCTGTCTCTCCATCTCTTTGTCTATAATTCTCTCTCTCTTGCTCTCTTTCTCTCTCTCTCTCTCAAATAAAAAATTTGTTTATAATTTTTATACATTCTTTTTCAATTTATTTTTGTTTGAAAAGCAGAGAGAGAGATGGAGACAGAGACAGATCTCCCATGTGCTGGTTCATGCCCCAAATTCCTACAACAGCCAGGCTGAACCAGGCCAAAAATGAAAGCCAGGAACTCAAGCTGGCTACCCCGATGGGTGGTAGGGACCCAGTCACCTGAGCCACCACCTTTTACCTCTCAGGATGTGCATTGCTAAGAAGCTAGAATTGAGTGCAACCAAGACAGGCACTCTGATACGAAATACAGGCCGCAAGAGACATCAAGACCGCTATGCCAAATGTCCACCCATTTCTTCTTGATAAACTGAACCTTCTGTTTGTGTGAAATGTCCTTCCTTTCCCCTTACAATGGCATTAGACTTAAATGTCTATTTGTGGAGGGAAGTATAGCTACCCCAGCTCTCATTTGGTTACTGTTGTCATCAGCTAACTTTCTGTATCCTTTCACTTCCAACCTGTTTGTGTCTTTGAATCTAAATGATTCTCTTCTAGATAACATACAGCAGGCATTCCTTAAATGACTCCAGAATTGATGCCACAAAGTGGAGCCAGAGGAGGAGTTTGAAGCTCTGGGCCCAGCAACACAACTCGGCATGTGAGACTTGCCGTAGTCACATGTGGGCCAGCTGAGCTCCCCACTGGGTGGTGGCGCTGGGATAGACAGGCATGGCAGTACCAGCTAGGCTCAGCAGCTGTGCCATACCCCAGAATCACACCTCTGTGTTTCCCATGTAACAGTGCTGGCAGTAAGGGTCCCCTTCACCCACTATTTTACACTGGACTCACCACAGCCATGGACATGGGAGGAAGTGGTCCCATTTAAAAAAAAAAAAGACTATTTATTTATTTGAGAGGTAGAGTTACAGACAGAAAGAGGGAGAGACAGAGACAGAGGTCTTTCATCTACTGTTTCACTCCCCAACTGGCTGCAAAGGCTGGAGCTGAGCTGATCCAAAGCCAGGAGCCAGAAGCTTCTTCCAGGTCTTGCAAGGTGGGTCTTGCAAGGTGGGTGCAGGGGCCCACGCCCATTAAGTGAGATTTTTTTCCCCTAAAGAAACTTATTATTTAAGGAATACAAACTTTATGCATTTCATAAGTACAACTTTAGGAATATATTGATTCTTCCCACCATATCTGCCCTCCCACCCACTCTCCTACCCCTTCCACCTCCTCCCTCTCCCATTCCCAGTCCCATTCTCTACTAAGATCCATCTTCAATCAACTTTATACACAGGAGAGTACTCCCATTTTTAAGGCACGAATCAGGAGCCCAGAGGTGGTCTGTAAGGTGCGTTAGACACCGAGTTATGTGAGCTGGTCTCTCCAGCGCTGGGCGCAGGGGTAAGTCCGCTGCCCAGTGGCTGTGTGACGTTCTGCACGGGTGACTCCCCCACGTGCAAGACTGGGAGGATTACTTCCATGTGTCAAGGCTGGTAGGAAGCTAAAATCAGGCAGATGACACATGTGGCCAGCAGCTCCTGGTCCACAGAAGTGCCCAGACACCCCTGCCGCAGTGATGTCACCCCCCGCCCTGCTCCGAGTTCAGTGGAGGCGCTATGTCCTGAATGCACGCAACCATAGCCCCGGTCAAAGTCGTGGACAGTCTCTGTCGACACGGTCATCCCCCGAAAGCCCAATCACAGGTGAAACACTTAGCCGTGAATCACGAGACATTTCCTGCTCAGATCTTACAAATAACGGCGAGTGCCAGGCTGCTGGGACGACCTAGGGAGGCTGCAAGTGGCTTTCTTACGGCTCCAGGCCACAGCGTATCTATCAACACAAACAGCCCGAGCACACTGTGCACTGAGAAAGAGGGGATTCTGAAAGCCGGTGAGGTCCCAAGGGGTCAGAGACGTCCAGTCGTTCTGCAAAACTCTCCTGGGGAAAGGAAACTTTGGGGTACGACGGATCGCTCTCAATCTCCTACAACCCAAGAACGTCCCCAGGAGTGCCCGGGCCACTCTCAGTATGCTTCCTCCAGCGCACTACGGAAAGCGGAGGTGACTTCACCATGGAGGGGCGAGGGCGCCAGTCTATAGCTGACGTAAAGGAGGCCCTGCCAAGGCTCTCAGTGAGTCTGTGGGCACCAAGGAGAGGGTAGGAGTGGTGCTGGCACCTTCTGACTCCCATCTTGAAGCTCATCATAATCCTCTGCCTCTCATCTTGGAGCGTCTCGTGCCTCAGGATCAGTGGTAAAGGGGTTATCCTAGGGTGGCTGCCATGTCTCCTGTCGGGTGAGCCACAGAATAGTCTGCAAGAATCTCTAAGAATCTCCCAAGGGCAAACAAGGTCAGGAAAGCCTGGGATAAAGAGTTTGGGGAACTATGACAAAAGAACAGGTGTTTGGACAATGAAAGCTGCTGGTATCAAAGTTCTGATGAGGAGGCAGGCATCTGGGACGGAGAAGCTGGACCCAGGAGACCAGCCCCAGGAGGTCTCATGGAGACAGGAGAGCATGGAGGTTCTCAGGCTAGTGGGCACGCACCTGCCGCAGGGGTCAAAGGCTCCCTCGGGTCTCCACTCCTGGTCCTTCCCTGCTCCAGGGCTGGTCCTGGTCCTCTCTACCTTTTCATTCTGTGAGGTTCTTTAACCTCCACTGTTCCCAGGGAAGGGTCATGGTGAGCAGGGCAACACGTCTCCCCTCCACTGGTCCTGAGGTTCAGGGGACTCCCCAGGGACCAGGTGCACAGCCAAGCCACAGCCGCAGCACACGGAGGACCTGCTCCTTGCTCTGCTGTGATTTCATCATCCAGGCATCTGCAGCCTCACGGGGTTGTCCTGGTATTTTGCCAGGACATTGTCATCTCAGTCAGGAATGACTGTGCTCACATGGTACACACAGCGGGGAAAAGTCGCAATCCTGACCACAAAAGGCAAAAGGGCCATCCCTCAAAATGTACTCATCAAAGCCCTTCAGCCCTTCCTCACCTAACAGACTCACAACTCCCCTAAGAAGGTTCCAGAACACCGGGACACATCTTGCCTGAGGCCACCCTCTCCTGTGATGGCCAGAAGCAAAAGTGTCACGGAGCAGCTTCCCAGAGGAGGGGACAGACGCTCCCTACCCACCCTGGGACCCTTTTCCACCTGCTGTTCATCGCACAGAGGGGCAGCAGGGGTCCGTGTCAGAGCCTTCGTTTGCCAGGAGGGTCATGCTGTGATACTTGGGAGGTGTACGTGTGGGCAACAGGATGAGCCCAGAAGTCCCCCATGAAGGGGGACTCAGCCTCCCTTCCCCAGCGTGAGGGCTCTGTCTGGAAATCAGTTGATGCGGAAGCCCAAGGCAGGCTACCAAAGGAACCAGACTCAGGAAAACAGCCCAAAAGTTGAAATCCCAAAGAATATCCAGGCGAGGCCATGGATCAGAATATAGGTGGCCAGGGATACGCTCCCAGATCCCGGTTGACCCAGTGGGTTCGGTGGTTGCCACTTGGCCGTGCACACATGGTCCGTCACGCATGCTTCTGAGCCCATTTGCTCCCCGGTGAGGAGGAGGGCGGGGCTTCCACACGCACGCCTGTTCTGCAGAGCCCACAGGTAAGGCACATGCAGCGTAGCAGCCTATGCAAAGCATGGACCTGCAGCCAGCTAAGGAAACTCAGTGTCGGGCAAGTGATTGTTAGGATGAAGGAAAAGAGCCCTTGATCAGGTCTTCGTCTCCCCTGGGAGGGTTCCCGGGTCAGGCTTTGTGAAAGATGGTCGAGCACATCAGGCACAACCAGCTGTGGCCTTGAAGACAGTCTGGTCTCAACTGTATGGATTTTTTTTTTTCTAGAAAACGTGGTGCTTATGTGAAGGTTTCTCTACTATGGAGTATCACTGGACCCTGGATTAGGCTCCTTGGTGGCTCCTGCCCTGCCCTGCTTTCATCACAATCTCTGTCCTTACCTGGCTCTGTGACCTCCCTGGGGCCAGTCTCCTGCACCTGTTTCAGGAGCCCTGACTTCCGGCCCAGAAGGTCTAGGCGTGCGTTGATCGTGGCCTGTCATCTGGTTCTTTGACATAGCCTCAAATGAAAACGAAGCTGCTGAGACATCTGCTGTGTGACGTTCTGGAATCTTCCTCCACCAGGGGACCCTGTATGTCCTGCTGTCGGGTGGCCCTTGCACGGAGGTAGGTTCTAGGAACAGCAGGAGGGGTGTGGGCACCTCCTTGTCCATGCATTGTCCTTTGTGTCACTCAGCATCTAAGAGAGCCCGCCTACATCATCAGCAGTGGAGCCATGGCCAAGCTACTGAAGAT